TAATCTTTTCCGAATAGCAACGGTCTCACCAGAAAAGTCTTCGTTAATAAAAAAACTCGTGCCTTTTAGTCGATGAGATTTTTTCAAAATTCTTACTTTGTCTTTGTATTTCTGCAGGTTAAGTACTGTTGTCCTCGGTCGTCTATCTTTCTTCAATCCAGTGCGGTGGGCACGTTCAATGTCGATATTTTTCAGTCCAAGTTTTTGCCAGAAGAATGTGTGAACTTTTTCTTCAGAGTCCCCCCATGATTCTTGCCCATTTTCATCAATTCCATCGATTCGTAGGTTATTTCTTCTTGATCTATCTTCCAGGTTTCGTTGCTTTTCCTTAATAAATTTTTCTGTATTAGTATGTTCAAATTTTTTATCTAGTTGTTTATTGTTGTTATGAATTTTTTTGTCAACTAGTTCTTCGTTGTAGTTTAGACTATGCTGAATATCTTCCAATTCCTTTGTAAGTTCTTTAATTTTGTTTGCATTCACGTTGATGTTTAACTCTGCTTGGTCCATTCTGTCATTAATTATTTTTATATTAGCCCCAATAATATCAATAACAGTTTTCTCTTGTTTACGAAACATTTCAGTTTCTTTTTTGAATTCTTTAAACATTTCTTTTACCATTTTTTTTATTTCAGAAAGTGTTACTGCCATAGTATAATAAACGTGATAAAATAAAAATATTATTTTAGATTAAACTTGAATATTTTTTCAAATGTTAAGTAATCCAAATGATTTTGTTTTTTTATTCTCCTCGCGGTAAAATCGCGTACGCTCTTGTTGAATGCTTGCGTTGATTCTTATATATATATATATATATATATATATATATATATATATATATATATATATATATATATATATATATATATATATATATATATATATATATATATATATATATATATATATATATATATATATATATATATATATATATATATATATATATAAGGCCGGCGCGATAGGGGGTGTGGGGAGGTGTCACACTGCCATCAACACCCCTAACGTGCCATGACACCCCCCCCCCCCCATCAATGATTTTTAGTCGGCAAACTGGACCCTTAGTTGGCAAATTGGACCCTTTTAGACTAGTTAGTCGACAAATGTCGGCCCTTTTGATATAGGTTAGACAGTCGGCAAATGTCGTCATGACAGTCGGCAAATTTTGGAAAACGGGGACCTTTTATTTATTATTATTTTTTTTTAGTCGTCAAAAGTTGTTATGGCACCCCCCCCCCCCATTACATTACAACACCATAAAAACAGATAACTTTGAATGTGATCCCTCTTCTGTAACAGCTTGATGCTTGCAGTGGCCGGTGTAATTTAACCCCAACAAAACTCAGTTGTGTACTGTTATTATTATTGTCATAAATTTTGATGTTCCTAATTAATGGCAACACTTATACTCAGACTTTCACTTTACGGTTACTCCAACTATCTTTCACTTGGGTCATTTCATTATATTTTAAGTTAAATTTTTAACCAACCGTCAGTAAAATGTCATTTCTAATTTTCCTGATTTTTAAATATCATTTTCTGCATTATGTTAACAAGTTTATTATGCAACTAGACTTAAACCCGTAGTACAACAATTTACAAACTATAGTTTTATAAACATTGACAGTACCATTGACAAACATTGATTTCACAACATAAATAAATTGCTCTTATTACTTGCGCTTTTTTTCCAACCGTTTTTTTTTTCCTATCTTTCAATTTTGTAACTACCCATAACGATTGATCCTATGCCAACATTGCTCCAATTTTTTAAAAAAGAATTCAGCATCTGACAGGCCAATCTCTTCAACATCTCTGTAAAAGTTGTCTTTTTTTTTAAAAAAAAAAAATTTCTGGATAGTTCTGCTAAAAATTAAACAGTTTTAATAAGCTTGTATCATATAAAAAAGTAAAGCTTCCTCAACTCTAAAAACTTTCTGAAAAATACTAAAAAAAAATTAGCAAACTTAAGTCATTTGTTGTATATTTCTATTTATCTACTGGTTAGTTTTGTGAAAAGCAATTAGTTAGGCATAATATATAAGTAACTTAATACATTTTAGAACTCAAATATAATAATAGGCGAGTCTAACATTCCATCTCTAATTCATAGTTCTTTATTACCTCGCCCAAGAATAAGGCAGAACTATTTGCAAAGAACTTTTTCTGTAATTCAACCCTTGAATCCAATGGCTATACTCTATTATTCCAGTTAAACAGGTTATTCCACTGTTAATCATCCAAATCACTCCAGCTTCTGTTAATAAAGTTATTGAATTTGAACTTGTTTACAACTTATGCTCCAGACAGTATTCCTACCTTACCTTATTCTTCAGTACACTCGTTAATTCACGCTAAACTATTTTATTAGTGCTTGATTGAAACATATTTTCCTGCCTGCTGGAAAATGGCAACTGTGGTCCGAATTTAAGTTATTTTCAATTTAAATTTGGAGGTCATTCAAACTAACTATTGTCCAATCAGTTTTCTCTCTTTGATTAGCAAGGTCTTTATTCAACAAATTTCATCTTAAGTTTAATAACTTACATTCTGACAATCAATACAGTTTTTGATCTTCTGGTTATACTTGCTAACTGCTCTGACTGAAAGGTTCTATCGTGCATTAAATGGAGGCTGCAAAGCAAAGGATATTGCTCTTGACATTTCAAAAGCTTTCTATAAATTTTGGCATTCTGGTCTTCTCCATAAACTTGTTTCATATGGTGTATCTTGGAAAGTTTTTGAGTATTTACGATGCATTATTCTCATCTCATCTTAGCTATTGTTGTCAAGTTTGGGGTCAATTTGGAAACTATCGCATTAACAAGTTGCTATCGTCTCAGCGTCAATCCATCAGATTAATAAACTTCCAACCAATTAAATCAGATACATTGAAGTCATTCAAAAAACTTTTTATTTCAATTTTTCCAGCGCTAGTAAAGAATGCTAATCTTCTTTTTGTTTTTGACTCTTTATCACCATCTCCTATCACAAACTTGTTCACAGAAAGTAGACTATTACATTTCTACACGACTAGAAATATACACAATCGAAAACTAAATGTACCATCTTTTAAAACCCAGAAGTATGGTAAACATTCTATTGTTTATCAGTGCGTCTGTAAATGGAACAGGAGCCTTGCATGCATTTTGAATGAGTCCAAAAAAATATATCCTAAAATCCCTTTACTCCATCTTAAGCAATATCAATTTAAAAAAATTCTAAAAAATTTTTTATTTTAACTTTTTGGCATTATTATCCTTATGATTTTAATATTCATTTAATTTTCTTTTTGTTATTACTACTATTATCATTAGCACTTTTTGTTTATTTTTTTATTTTAATAGTAAAACCTGCAAATTGATTTCTACATGTTTGTTTTGATGTATATTTTATGTGCTTTGGTTTGTATGTTTACAGTCCATGTGTTTCAGTGTGTGTCTTTGCTTATTATTACTTATATTATATTAAAAATTGTTGTCACTCCTTTCTGTATGAGTGACACCATCCTAATAAATCATAAACTTATTATTATATTAATATTAGTTATTAATATTATTTTTTCATTGAAATTATTGTAAACATACTTATTATTACTATTACTATAATTTGTATAATTATTTTTTGTTATCTTATGTTATTATTATATATTTTTGCTATTATTTCTATTATTATTATTATTATAATTATTATCAAAACTATTGTTAAATGATTTACGGAAAATAAATAGCTTGTAGTTGTTGTTGTTGTTGAGTCATTTTTTTTAAACCATAGTATAATAGTCATTTGTGGGGGCCAACACTCTTCTTCATTTTCAGTAACTTCAACGTACTTTACCGTTCTTTCTTTGTCATGTATTGTTTCTTACCTACAGTAATGACCATCCTGACTATCTTACATCTGAAGTGGCTTTTTTTGCATACAACTCAACTTTATACTCCTGTCTTGACAAATTTTTATACTCCTGTCTTGACAAATTTTATACTCCTGTCTTGACAAATTTTTGATTACTTAAAATAGGAAACCAATCTTGAATCTGATCTCACTTCTGTAACAGATTGGGGCTTGTAATGGCTTGTAAATTTTAACTCCAACAAAACTCTGCTGTTTACTACAAACAACTATCGTAATACTGTTGACATTATTAATGAATGAAAACCCTATCACCGAGTCCTTCTTGGATTATTGTTCACTACTGACGTCTTAGTAAAAACCATACATAATCAATTGCAAAGTAAACATTTGGTAAGGTTACTTCTCTTTATTGTGCTTGCAATTAATTTACTCCTGATTCCAGTATCTACCTTTGTAAATCTCTCATTTGACGCTGTATGGAATATTGTTGTCATATTTGTGCTGGTTTTTCTAATGATGCTCTTTCTCTTCTAAACAAGATTCAAAAGGATATTATAAATTTAGTTATCCTGTTCTATCCACCAAGCTTGAACAACTTGCCCATTATTTTAAGGTCACGTCTTTTTCTTTTCTACAAATGTTATCATGATCGCTGCTCAAAAGTCTAGTTCCATTAACTAAAACTCATTCTCACTTTACTTGTTCAAAAAAAATGGCATCTTTATACTGTTTCTTTTTCTTCATGTTCTAAAAACTTTTATTTATTTGTTTTTTTTTCTTCGCACATTAATGTTTTGGAACTCTTTCCCATCTTCATGTTTTCCTGACTTAAACAACCTACAATAAAATCTTCTGTTAACCACTTCCTTTATTATTAACACACTTTTTAGTTTTAATAACTTCTAACTTAATAGTGGTTGCTTGCAGCCTTGTTGGGAGTGAATTAGTATAATATATATATATATATATATATATATATATATATATATATATATATATATATATATATATATATATATATATATATATATATATATATATATATATATATATATATTGATAAAATATATGCATAAAATATTTGAATATTTTGATAAATATTAATAATATTTGAATAAAATTTTTATTTTATAATACAATATCAGGAACTAGTGAAGAGTGCAAAGATCAGAGTTGTAATGGTTGCTTGTAAGTGACTTAGTTATTTAAAATTTATATATTAGTAATAAATGTTTAACAATTACAAGTTAAAAATCAATTTTATTGAAATACAAATTTTTTTTAAAAAATGTTTATACAGCTGTACAATATTTTATTATAGCCTTCTTACAAAACAAACATACTTCAAGTTTTTATTTATTATCCTTCTATTTCTACTGTTAAAACTGTTTTAAATTAAGGGTTTTAAATACTTCACAAAATAGTTTGTTCTTTCTTCTTATAACAACTATTTATTTAACTGCTTGAGAACTAATTAGTTAATTGCTTATTATTTTAAAGATTGAGATATTATTTAAAGTGAGATAATATTAGCAATGTTTGGTGAGTATCTTTCCAAAATTAAATTAATGTTTTATTTAAAGCTTCATTATATTGAAATAATTCAAAAAGGGTATAAAAACTCAGTAAAAATATTTTAATGCCATGTGGTAGAGGAGTATAAATAATTGTAATTGAAAGAAATCTGACAATCATATGGAATTACTTACAAACTAGAGCACCCAAGAATCAAGATGGCTTGGTAAACAGTTCAATGATATCAGGAAAAAAATTCATTAATTTGAAACAAAAAGTGATAAAAAAAAAAGTTAAAATAAAGAAGAAAAAAAACAAGTTTAATCATTGGAGATAAGTAAAAATTGTTTAGAAAAAATATTGTCAGATTTAGTCATAAATTATATATTGGGTAAAAGTGCCATTAGTAATGCATTCCTGAAGTTGAGTAATTACCTTCTATCTACTATGTAGTTTTGAGCCATGGTGAAGTGCTTATAGCACTTGATTCTGAATTTTCAGACTCAAGGTTTGATGCCTGCTTTGGTCATGTTTGTGACTTAGGCAGCATAAATTTTCTAGCTAAATTTTTTTCCATGGTGTTCTGTGATAAGACAATAAGGTTTTCTTGGAGCACCTTAATAGTTAAATAATAATAATAATAATAATAATAATAATAATAATAATAATAATAATAATAATTAATTGTAAAAATAACCATCATTTTCTCAACTTCTTCCCATTTTTAGTGCTTTATTATATTGTAAGTCTCATAAGGTATTTTTTAGGTCTGGTAGTAAGAGTGCCTTTAAGTAGTGAAAATATTTAATTTATAATTTTTTATATAATTTAACTAAAGTTATTTGCTTTCAAAAGTTTTTTGCTTTAAGCTTGTTACTTTAACCAAATTTCATTTTCTGTGAGGTATCAATATATAAGTATGTTATTTTCTACTTTTCTTGATTGAAAGTTGTTTGATCTTTTGATCTAATAATAACATTTTTTAACTAAATAAAATCTTGACTGTTGGGTCAGTTTATTATATTTCAATCAATTTAAGGAAAACTTTGTGGGTTCAATCGGAATAACAAAAATATATTTAGTAAGTTCTTGTTTTAATGAATTATTTTCTATACAGTTTTTTTTTAAATCTATTTTAGAGTAAAATTTTCAAATTTTGTTTTATTAGGATTGATTTATAATATTAATTATTAGCCATTTTAATTATTTTTAACTAAAAGTCCATATGATATTGGATACAAAACATCACTTATATTTTAAAAAATCTATCAAATTTGAAAAACATCATTTCAAGAGCCAAGTATTTGGTTAAAGTTGCTTAATCAGAATTTTTAAATATTGCAGATTAAAAAATAAACTTACTTATTTTTATACTGGCTGCCTGTGCTGTCTGTGAAATAATGGGCCTTCTGAACTTGCGGATATTCTTCTCTTAGAGTTAGTATGATTTTTAAAACATAAATAAAGACCCCCTCAGTATTATGAACAGATTTTCAGATATAACACAATAAAATTTACTTTCTAGGGACAATTTTCCTCTTAAAGACTTCAAATATATAATGTGAGGTTTTTAAAAGAATATCTTTCCTTAGAAATGTATGAAGATTTTCCAGATATTTGAAAAAATAAGATAAATTTCATGCTGAGTTACATATAAAATTTTATTTGCAAAATATTATTTATGTAAAAAGTTACAAAATATCTCAATTAATTTAGAGAGCTTCATTTAAACAGTAATGAAGGTCTGTAAATAGTTACTGCTCCTTTACTTGTGCCCCTATCCACTATAAATACCAGATCAAGGAGAGGGTAACCAACCATATCTTTTGCTTTGTTAAGAAATATAATTAGTTACACCCCTGAAATGGGCCAGTAGGCAGGCTAGAAGACACTAGTTTCCAATAATGCATTCAACCGTGGGTAATTGATAAATATGATAAATTCAAAATGCGAACATGACTCAAAAGGGCTAAAAATTGGACTTATTAGGCAAGTTCTAAACTGCAGCAAACTGCTTATATTTTGCCCATTTATTGCAAACAGTACTAGCTAATCAGAAGAATCTTTACCTGTTAAGACTTGTGGATGAATAAAATGTTAATAGAGTTAACTTTATTTTGGCATATTTTAGCAATTTTTAGATTTTTTCTGAAAATTGTTAAGGATGTTAAAATTTTTTCTCTTATATGATACAAGTTGATAAAAAATACTTTTTTAAGTGTTTTTTATCAACTTGTATCATATTAGAGAAAAAAATCTAGAAAATAGTTCTAGAAAAAATGAGACATTTGTTGAAAGAGAGAAAAAAAAAAGAAAGTTTTTTCTCACTTTCAACAAGAGAAAAAACCATTTGTAAATGAAGGGGTCCACTGTGTTGTGTTTATAAGGCTATAATTTCTGAACCAAAGTACTTAGAAATCTGAAATTATATATATATATATATATATATAGTCTAAATATATATAGATTTATATTTATCAGGTTTTTTTGTCGACGTAAATATTATATGATTTTTTTTTGTAAAACAAAAAAAAAAATGAAGAACAAATTAAAAAAACTTTGCTTTTAATTTACAAATACTGCCCTAATACAAACCATCTGCTACATATTTTCCATATATCAGTTAATGTCTGTATTGAAAGCCTCACAGATCCTTTAATCAGTATGCCAATCTTTATGAGTTTTTTTATGTGTATATATATATATATATATATATATATATATATATATATATATATATATATATATATATATATATATATATATATTAGGGTGGTCCAAAAAAGTCAAGTGAAATATATTTCAGAGGCATGTTGTTTGTAATGTTCATTCAAAAAAGCCACTGTGCAAAATATTACATAGACAACAATGGTGCTCTACAACTTGTAGTAGTGCTTGTTTTGTCTCTTCGTCCCTTATCAAAGAATCATTGAAAGTGGAAATCATTGCAACTCCCCTCTCTGCCCTATCATTTACTATTTTCAGTTTCTCAAACTTTCTGCGCCCTTCCTGAAAACTTTCATCAACATCCCATTGGTCAGGAGGTAACTCCAAAAAGGTTTCATTGATTCTGAAAGATTTTAAAAATTGCAAGGATGCAGAAGAAGCAAGATCACTGAGGTTCATCATTGTTTCTTCTCCTTTTTTTGGAACCCACTTAATTTGATCCATATTCTTCTCCTTCATTTCTCTAACAATATCCTTTTTTTCATCAGTAGACAACTTGTTGGAAAAAAAGTAAAAAGCCAACAAGGTCACCACCTAGATACCATAGATGGCGTAGGAAAGTTGTTAATGTGGCTTTTGCAATCTTCGCGTTCACCTTGTTGTAGCTGACCAAATCATATAGAAGAGCCTTATCATTGACGGCCGCCTCACAAGCTTGCAGAGTCTCTATCCAGACTCTAGAGTAAATCAAGGTAATGAAGAGAGACACTTCATGTAGACCAGTCTCCTCACTTTTTGTCAGTTTCGTTTGCTTCCAGAATAACAAGATTTTTATCAAATAGATAGCCTTGGCCATCCACCTGACGTGATGGTATGCACCATGCTTCCTGATTGGAGCATATAATTCTCCCGTCAGAAAATGCAATGACAGTTGACGCAGTTCGGCATAATCATCAGGTATACTCTTTCAAGCCAAGCTAGACTGCATGGAGGTTATGGTAGCATCTTTCCAATCTTTATGCTCATCTACTCTCGGATCCTTGAAAGCACTTATTTAATCTTTTGAGATGAAGGACCATTGTTCTCGAAAATGTTTGAATAGCTGAATATCTGGTCCAGATGATGCAGCGAATAACTGATTTGAAGGCTGTAGCCAAAATCAGCTCCATAGTGTGATGTCTGCATGCAAGATGCATCAGAGGTCAGCCCAATTGTACCTCTATTAATTGGCAACAACCAGCATGGATCCCAGTGTTGGATAATGTTGTGTCAAAGGAAAGAGCTTCGATTCTTTCTTTGAGTTTCCACTCTTGAACAATCCTGACAGTTGCATTAGCCATGGCAGCTCCGATACTCGATTATAACTTTGGTATTGCCAGCAATTTCTTGAATTCAATATCTGGGCTTGAAATAAGAATTGGCAAATGATCAACCTTTAAGCAATCTCCATTTCCTGCACAGTTTGGGAGCAACTTGCCATCCCAGTGTAATAGTAAAAAGGTTCTTCTGTTGAACTTCATTGATGAAGGAATCCCTAACAGTGGCTTCTGTGATGGCCCTGCTATGTATTCTAGCACGTCGAACTGAGCTCCTGGAGATTGATCTGTTGCTAGGAGGTGTTGCTGCTGAGGTATTCAAAATGTCAACAGCACGCCGGTCAGAAATGTTGCTACGGTCCAATGCACAAACCAACTCTGGAGTCATTTTCAATTTCTTGGAAGGAGTTGATCGCTTTGATCTTCGATTACAAATTTGAGGAGAGCCATCTTCAGATGACTCAGAATCTGAAGAGGGTGGTGACGAGACAACAAGTTGCACCTTTAAGCTTTGAGCTTCCATTTTTTTCTTCCATTTTTTTCTACCTCAATTTTTAAGTTTTTTTATACTTCAAGAATTGTAACAAGTTTGGCAATGATAGCACGGGTCTCCATAACTGGAATACATGCCTTTGTCCACAAGAACAGCACTTCATTGACGACTTTCTTGCGATCCTCTTGACTGTTGGTTCCAAAGAAGAAGATTCGCTTTAGAACATCTTTTTCTGTTGGAAGGAATCGCTCACCAAAATTCTCTAATGGTTGCCCAATCAAATATATTTCTGTTGATTTTTGTGTTGGTATATTTATTGCAGCTGTAACCATTTTTTATTTTAAATTATTTGACCTGCAATAAATTATGCAAACAAATTCTATTAAAATGAATGAAGAAATATTAATTCAAAAAGTTAATGCAGTAATTAATAATTAATACCAAATAATATTACCAAATAAGAGTGTTTAATAATTATTCTAAAAGTATACTAAGTATAGTGCTGATATCTACTGAATGAATAAGAAATTTCGACAATATTTCTACATTGATAATGAAACACAATGATTAAACACAACAAAAAATACACAGTCTGCACAAAAACTTTGATATGCTTAAGCAAACCCTAAATATATATATTTTTTTCAACCTGAAACTTTGCACAGTTGATTTTTAGACCAAAAGGAAGAAAAAAGGCAACATGCCTCATTAATTTAAACAAAAAAAAAATTTACTTGTTAAAATGGACCACCCTAATATATGAATATATATATATATATATATATATATATATATATATATATATATATATATATATATATATATATATATATATATATATATATATATACATATATATATATATATATATATATATATATATACATATATATATATATATATATATATATATATATATATATATATATATATATATATATATATATATATATATATATATACAAATAATTTTAAATGTTTTCTACAAAATAGACTACTCAATGTCTTAAGAATAGAGCAGTAATAAATTATTAGAAAATCAAAATTAAAAAATCGATTAAATCACTTGTCAATTTTTTTTTAGTATGCATCTATGTATAAATGTGTGTTAAGATAACTCATTTGACGTCACACTGAAATAGCCTGCTGCAAGGGGCTTCAGTACATACAACAACCATCTTATAACCTGCTGCTGCAAAGAAGTACTGCAACATTAACTGATGGTTTGGGATGGGGGCAGCAATCTTTTCTTTTACTATTCTTTGCTTTTTTTCTTATTTTTCTGAAAAAGCCATATGTTATAAAGATAAGCAAAACTAGGAAGCAAGTGCTGATCTACATACTCTATAGTATATATGTATATATATATATATATATGTATATATATATATATATATATATATATATATATATATATATATATATATATATATATATATATATATATATATATATATATATATTTAAACTGCTAATAATATTTTATCTAAATTTTGTTAGGAAAACTACTTGTTTGAATGATACTTTAAGATGTGATAATATTTTATCAAAATGTGTTTGTAAAAACTGTTGGAGAGGCAAACATTGTGATGTATATGGTATGAGAAGTTTTTTTTGTACTTAAGTATGTTTATTTTGTGCTTAAGTATGTTTTTATTTTTGTTTTAATTCAGTGATATATATAACTTGTTTATATGAGATCTGGCTTTTTTGATAAATGTTTATTAACATAATTTGTTGTATATTTTTGATACATAAATTTGTTTTTGGGTCAAAGTGTTTGAATTTTTATTAGGATTAGTTTTAAAATTTAGCTTTGATTGTTATGTTGTTAATTAAATGTTACATTAATGGTTTTTTAAATGTTATTAATCAAGATAAAGGTTAAAATTATTTGTTCTTATATAACATATAATTACTTATAATATGTATATATATATATATATATATATATATATATATATATATATATATATATATATATATATATATATATATATATATATATATATATATATATATTAGGGTGGTTTTAAAAACAATTTTTTTTGAAAATGAATGCTGGCACAACCTGTATATAACAAAAAAATGCTGAACTTAAAATTTATTTTAGTAAAATATATTTTAAAGGGTTGCTACTGATCTTCGAACATTAAATAGGTCCCTAATATTATAAAAAAAAAAGTTTTTTAAAATTATGTCATGTTGGGTCTCAAAAGAAGTGAAATTATATAAACATTTCAAAAATATTAATCATTTTATAATTAATTTTTTATTTTAGATTTTAGTGAACAGAAAATTACAATTTTTAACTAAAAACGATTAATAGAGAAATTAACAAGATTTTTTTATTATAATTTTTTTTTATCAATGTTTTTTTATAAAATGAATATTATTTTTGAAATTTTTATATAATTTTACCTTATTTGAGAACTAACATGACCTACTTTTGAAAAAAAATTTTTTTAATAATCTTAGGTACCTATTTAATGTTTGAAGGTCGGTAGCAACCCCATAAAATAACTTTTATTCAAAATTTTTTAAATCCAGAATATTTTTATTATATACAACATATTCAGAGGGTGCCAGCAGTCATTTATAAAAAAAGTTGTTTTAAGAACCAGCCTAATATATATATATATATATATATATATATATATATATATATATATATATATATATATATATATATATATATATATATATATATATATATATATATATATATATATATATATATATATATATATATATATATATATATATATATATATATATATATATATATATATATATATATATATATATCTGTGTGTGTGTGTGTGTGTGTATATGAATAATTTTAAAATGTATTCTACAAAATAGAGTGCTCAATGTTCTTAAAAGAACAGAGCAATAATAAATTAGTAGAAAATCACTTGTTAAACTTTTTTCATTTTACACTGTTCATCAATTAAGACTCATAATTAATAAGTCGTAATTGATAAAACAGTGTAAAATAAAAAAAGTTTAATGAGTGATTTTTTACTAATTTATTATTGCTCTGTTCTTTTAAGAACATTGAGCACTCTATTTTATAGAATACATTTCAAATTTTTCACATATATATATATATATATATATATATATATTTATATACACTCTTGCATGGTCGTTTTTGAGGTTTTACCATAAAATGTCACCTTTAAGTTTTATTTTATTTTAAAGAATGGAAAAATTTTTTTTTTATAATTATTTGATATACTGCCTGCTTAAACCAAACCCTCAGTTGATGTAGCAGCACTCCGTTGCAAATCAGCCTATTTTTAAGTTTGTGTAGCAGCACTCTGTTGTGAGTTTGGCTATAAGATAGTCAATGTAGCAACATTCCGTGCATGTTTTATAGTTAAAAAAAAAAAAAAAAAAACATTCAGAATGTTTTTATTTTTAAAAAATAAAATAAAAATATTAAGTGTTTTTAAAAACATTAAGAATGTTTTTAAAAACATTTAAAATGTTTTTAAAAACTTTCTAAGTGTTTTTAAAAACATTTTGATCTTTTAATTTGTGGTTTTGTGGTTTAATTACTTCCTACAATTAAATTAATGCATTTTGATAAAAATGCATTAATTTAATTGTAGCAAAAAATTAGTCAACAAAAAATACAATAAACGAAATATTTTCTTCTTTTAATTTTCCAAAAATTACTCTAATTATAAATTTTAGCACTAGAGACCTTTCAAAAAATCATCAGTAGTGCTGTTTTTGTTATTATAGCAACAAAATATAATTTAAAAAAAAAAACAGGAAATGATAATTATTTAATATTGCTGTTAGCAACTATTGTAATCTATATTGTAATGTCAATTAAAAGTATCATGTTTTTGGTTGTGAAAATGTTTCTCATAAGAAATTAGGTTTTTTTCATTTTTTAGCTCCACAAACACAAAAAGCTAGAAAAAAGGTTCAATAATGGAGTTATGCGCACGTTGACAATTGTATACATGGTTATCAAACCTATCTGTTTATGTTCCATATAGTACCATTTGATGTCGTAAATGATTTAACTTCTTGAAAGTAGAATTTACATATTTTGCAACAATTATCATTGCATTTAAATAATCCTACTTCTTTAGTGGTTGATTGAATTTTTGAAGAAGTGTTCTCAGTAGATTGGGTGGTTGTTTATACGCAATTACTGGTTGGACATTAGAAAAAACTTCTTTCACTCTTTCATTTGAAGATAGATTAAGCAAAAGATTTGTTTCAGTAATAAAAGGTTGGCAGTTCAGATTGCTGTAAAAAGTTGCAACTAAAGGAAAAGTTTCTTTTGATTGATTTTGGGGAGCTGGTCCTTGGAGTTTTGCGTTGTGAAATGCTTTTTCAATAATATTATTAGGATATTTGCATTCTTTCAGCCACCTTTTTAGTTCTGCTAAACGTTGTTTTTCTTTATTGTAATCAAATGTGAAAACAATTATTCTTTTAGCAAGGCCATAAGAGATGTTCTTTTTTATATGATAAGGATGATGGCTGTTCTAGTCTAAGTAGTCGTGAGTATTGGTTTCTTTATAATAAATATCCGTTTTTATTTTTCTGTTCTTTTCAAGAATGATAGATATGTCTAAGAAATTAATAATATTATAAGTATTTCCATCTATTATAAATTCTTTGCCCATGTCTGTTGTAAAACTGATTGAATTATCTATTTTGGTCAAAGAGTTTTTAAACTTAACGATATCTAAATGTTTTGGCCAGATTAAGAAACCATCATCAATATATCTATAATAAAATTCTTGTATGTCATTTACATCTTTACTGGAGTATTTAGGTAAAATCTTAGGAAAAAGTCTTGTTTCTTCTAAATATCCAATTGTTAGGCATGCATAATCTGGAGCGAAATTTGTAACCATGGCATATATATGTAGATATATATATATATATATATACATATATATATATATATATATATATATATATATATATATATATATATATATATATATATATATATATATATATATTATACGTAGATATATATATATATATATATATATATATATATATATATATATATATATATATATATATATATATATATATATATATATATATATATATATATATATATATATATATATATATATATATATATATACGTAGATATATATATATATATATATATATATATATATATATATATATATATATATATATACATAGATATATATGTATATATATATGTTTATATATATGTATGTATTTATATTTATCTATATGTATATCTTTCTTTTTGTAAACTGTGATATTTTTTTTCTTAATAACAAGAAATACAGTTAAAAAAAAAAAATTATAACAATCATCTAGAAGAGAAAACAAAGAAAAGTCAGGGAAATTGTATGATTGCAAAAAAAAAAAAACACAGATAAATTGGGCTAAAGTTTGAAAAAATCATGGCAAAATGCATGGTACAAAGGCTTTGCAGCAAACTGTCAATTTAAGCTGTTATTTTGTTTCATGACCTCTCTGCACTTTGAATTTGGATTGTATAATTTTTTTAATATATTTTCTATTAATGAGCAGTTTTTTAAAATGGTCCAAGTTTTTTTTTTTCTCAGTGCAAAACAACCTAATCTTTGCTAAAGCAATAATTGTTCAGGGAGGTCAATAGCATTTAAAAACGTCTAGCTAAAATATGTATAAAAAGCTATAGTATTTAAGATTTATTTGGTTTGAGGTAAAAAAAATTTTGAATAAAATATTAAGTTAGTAAAAATGGTCAAATCTCAAATTACATCATACAAACCGAATATGTTTTCTTCAACATAACTTTTTATGTAGTTAATAATGATGCCATTCAAATAATTAATAAAAATTTAAATATTAAATTTTTCTTCTTTAGAAAATCTTTATCTGCCACATTTTAAAACACCAAACCAATATGTGTCTATAAAGCGAGCTGAAAAAGTTGTTCTTCAATTAAATGCCGTTGACAGAGACAGCAAGAAATGTGAAGATATTAAAAAATGTCGATGTGCTCAAGTTGTTTACAAGCTCAGTGAAAATCCATTTTTTAGTTTACTGGATGGTTTGTAATTTATTATTAAACTATTTTATTGTTATGAAGCATTATTTATTAAAAAAGCAAGTTATGTTAAAAGTGTAATATTTATGTAATCAAATAGTGACAATGTTTTTGTATATATATATATATATATATATATATATATATATATATATATATATATATATATATATATATATATATATATATATATATATATGCGGTAGTGGTGTAGTGGTAAAACACTCGCTTCATAAGCGAAAGGTTCTGAGTTCGATCCCCACCACGTCTCTGGTAGTACCGCGCTCAACTTGTTTCTCTGTGCAGCGGCCTTGTTCGTCAAGGTTCATGTTTTGGATTTATAGAGTTGAAAGAGGGTTATAACCACTATTAAGTAGCCTTCTCGTCTGTAGTGGCCTTCTCAGCCTTGAGAAGGTGAATAACAAAATATATATATATATGTATATATATATATATATATATATATATATATATATATATATATATATATATATATATATATATATATATATACACACATGTATATATATATATATATATACACATATATATATATGATACTGTTGCATTAATATAATGTACTGATCTTAAAACCCTAGTTGACTCACCGTATGAAATGCAAGCCGCTTGCAACAACTTTTATTATTCTATACTCTATGCTCAAGGCATCTGCCAACCATTGAGAACTACATTTCTTGTCAACCCCAAACCTTGGATGATGCTGATTATTCAGAGCCTTATAAAAGAACATCAGTAACTTTATTTTTCTGAGTGGAAAGTACTTGCAAATCGAGTCATCAAATTAATCACCCAAAAAAACCGTATTTATAACTGATGCTTTTCCTTCGGTAAAACAAATTTTTGGCAAGAAGTCGGGCTTGCCAATAAAGGACAAATCACTCGTTTTATCTCTAAGACATTAGCAAACCAATTGAACGATCATTTCCAAAATATTTGGAGAGATAATAAACAACCTAATATCTCACTCTTCATTAACTGCCAAGCAAACCTACCTATTACCCCCATTTTTACCATTAATAACATTCTAAACCAACTCAGCAAACTAAAGACAGGATCATCAGGACCTGACAATCTCTCCCCAATTTTACTCAAATATATACAAGCCAGAGTACTTCAAGGTAGTGTTCTTGGCCCAATCTTGTTCATTCTCTTTGTTTCCGATATAAATACCTACCTCCCACCTGAAACCATTCTCAGAAAATATGATGATGACATTCTGACCTACATTATTATGGTAAAGTTCCTGCAAATTTACTTCAATCCATTGCTGATGGCGTCGCACATTGGTCTGTGGCCAATGCAATGAAACTCAACAGCTCAAAATGTAAAGTCATTAGAATCAATGCCCATTGCTCCAATACTCCTGCTCTACCATCTCCCATACTCAATAAAACTGAACTTGAAATTGTATACAGCTATAAATACCTTGGAGTCCTGCTCAATGAGAATCTTGATTGGGATGAACAATGGATAAAAGTGCACAACCCTATAAAATCAGTGCCATTTCTACTCAAGCGTCTTAAGCAAATCGGACACACTCAGTCCAACCTTCTACAAGTCTATATGGCTAACAGCTTAAGGATCTACAGATCTTAAGCTGTTAGCCATATAGTATATAGTGTCCCAGTTCTTACCTCTTGCAGTCTTGCTGCAAAAAAAGAGATACAACTTTTCCACAAAAATAGCTTACACATTATCGAAGTTGATGCAATCAACTCAAGCCGTCTCAATATTTGTTTTTGAAGAATTGAAGATTGTTTTTGAAGAATTGAAGAATTTAAACATTGAAGAATTACTTGACAAGAACTGTATTAATATCCTTAAAAAGATCCTTGCAGACACAAACCATCCGATAACCACTAAATTACCTCATACCAATAGCAGAAACCCTAACAGATATATATATATATATATATATATATATATATATATATATATATATATATATATATATATATATATATATATATATATATATATATATATATATATATATATATATATATATATAAAAATATATATATATATATATATATATATATATAGGTCTCAGCATGAAGTAAAAGCTTTAGCTCTCGCCCACACTCACCTAAAATAGTTTTGGGGGATCAATTTTTGGTTCTCGCAAATGTATTATTTTTTCTCTTGATAGTATAATTATCATTTTAAAATGAAAAATAAAAGATGGCGCATTTTAATAAAAAAGTGTAAATTAATTGTATAATAATCTGCAATACTTTTTAAAAGGTACTTTTGTTGCAAAAATAAAAAAAAAATTAAAAGGGCGTCAGTTGAAATTGACATGTTTTTGATTAGATTAGACTAACTGATAAATATAAAATTATTACACTTTGTTGTGGAATTTTCATTTGTTGTAATAATTCTAAAAATCCCTGAATTCTATTACAATAAGAAAATATAAAACATTTTTTATAAGCAGTAAAAACTTTTATAGCTCTTTGTCAAATTTTTTATCAAATAAGTAAAATTTTTAATAAATAAATGGATAGCTTGTGTGAAAACCCAGACAATGCTCTTCTAAATAAAATTTTGACTACACAATAAATTATGTTTTGTATATATTCTTGTAATATTAATGTTACAAACATACTTGTAACAAGTATAAAATCAAATTTTGTATCTAATAAGCAATTTTTTAAAGGAATAAATAAATAGCTTGTGCAAAAAACAAAAGCTCTCATAAGAAGCTGTTTAGAGGAGCAGTTCCCATGACTTGTTATGTTCGTTTTTGGAGAGCTTTTCTCTGCTTTTGCATTTATTTTCTCTTGCTGTGGCAGGAGAAAATAAATGCAAATGACTGTTTCATTATTATTTCATCATTGATGAAATAATAATGAAACAGTCATATGTGAGGTTTTTAGTTCATATATTGACTGAGGGTTTGTGGTTGAAAAAGCAGTGTCTATGTATGAAAAATATTTATGGCAAATGAAATTTTGTTGTTTTGTAGTTGCCAGATCTAGATTTTTTAGTTTTGTTGAGTTAATTTTGAACTAAGTTTATAATAATAACAAAAATTAAAAAAAGAGAAAATTATCAAATGTTTGCTGCTTTATATATTTTAGAAGTCAGGTTTAAATTGTTTTTTGTGTTATTGTATAGTTTTTTGAAATTGTATTGTATAGTTAAAAGCTTTAATATTTACTTTCTTTATGCTAATCATAATGCTTAGTGTAAAGAAAGTAAAAATTATTTTTAGAAAAGATAAAATATATTTAACTAAAATGGTATGAAAGTGTTTGCATTAATAACTCATTGATATTGAATCATAAATTGTTAAACTTTTAATAATAATAAATAATTTAATTATTGAAGTTGTTAAATAGTTTCATAAGTTCTAAAAAACAGCTTTGCTTGACTAAAAAAGCTGCTATCAGGAACAAAATATGTAGAATAATTTAATTGAAAAATTTCTTTTGCCAAAAAAGCAGGACTAAAAGTTCTAAATGTTTTAGTATCAAACATTTATTTGAAATTTTTTTTTATATTAATTAGTAAGATCAAAGCCAGAGAAAATGACGGACTAAAAATTAAAGGTTTCACATTGTTAAAACATTATAGACAAACTGACTTTTTGTTAATTTTGGGGGATGGTTACAAGATGAGCTAAAAGAAAAACACAAGGGTATAACTTAAAGTTGAACAAAAAAAAAAAGTGGAACAACCTTTTTTTTTTTGTCTTTGAATTGAAGATATTATTAATAATTATTACTTATTAAAAAATCTTAAAATGATTTTCAAAATTTTTTAATAAGTAATAATTAATAATAATTTGTTTTAATCATTTTCATTAAAATAACTTCAATTATCTTAATGAAAATAATGATTAAAACATCTAAAGTATTAGAATTTGTTTAATATAATAATCTCTTCACAATTCTTTCTCATTTTTCCAAATGCATTTTGATTGTTAAAATATTTTAATGTGTTTTTATATAAAGAACTTACTTGGTATCTGGTATAAGGAACTTACTTGGTATTCACTTTAAAATCTAATTTAGTTTAGTTTAATAATTTTTTATATAAATTTTGTTAATTTATAAATTTTATTTAAATAAGTATTAAAATACTTTACTTTTATATAAAAGAATGCTTGCAAAAACCTAAACCCTCAATCAATGTATGTACACTCCACTGTGACTACTGCTACTGTGACTACTGCTATAACAGTCGACTTATGCTCATATTTAATTAGGGGGATGGTCCAAAATTATATAGTTTTTGTTTAGACAGTTATTCTTAATTATTTTTTTTTTAGAAAAGTTCAAAAAACAATTCAGTTTTTGATATTTTTTGTGGTTGTCCTTCTACTTCTATTTTTAACATTTTAAAGGTTTTTAAAAACTTAAAAACAAAAAGTCTTTGCAGTGCATTCATTACGTGTAAACTTTAAAGTTATGCAATGTTGAAATTTATACAATTTAAATATTGATTGGATAAAATTTGTTATGGGTTTAGAACAAGTGATGATTATTACATTTTTAATCAAGTTTTTGCAGTTGATAAAATAATTAAAAATAATATTGAACTTAAGTGTTAGTGTGACACTTATTGCAATCAGCTTCGAAAATACTGTCAATTACAAAAATTCCTACTGGTAGTATACTTAAATATCTACCCCTTTGTAAAATCAAGGTTTGGGTAGTCTAAAAATATTTCAGGAAATGTGTCCCATTGTTAAAAAACTTGAAAATATAAACACAATTGCAACCAGTGACAGAAACAACTGAGACAGAATGGGTTAGCAAAAAAAGAACTGTAAGCTTGACATTAGATGTTTAAAAGAAATTTGTTTGTTTAAAATTACAAGGCAGCCCATTTACTTGTGAATCAGATGTCAATGCATATACTGAAAAGAGAAAGATCTGTTAAATGCCAAAAATGATTGAAGAATGGGATGTTTCTTTTAGGGATACAGTAGATCACTGCAGCAAAGATCTGCAAGATGCACACAAAAAGAGGAATAAGCTAATGATTTAAAGTCTCTACTTGGAAAGTCCTCACAACAATCCACAATCACCTTTGATGACTTTCTTTTTTTTTAGTTGTTACGGTGCTTCAGGTAGAACAAAGGGTCTTATCACAAACCACCATGGAAGAGCAATTTAATAAGGAAGTTACACCTCTTTTCTTTGTTGATTGTCTGGCCAGAGACAATCGAACCTCAGAATCTTGATGCTGAGAAAGAACATCAATCACTACACCACAGCTGCTATGAAGTTATTTCGCATTTTCGCTAGTAATTGTTAAAAAAAGTTTCTTATTTTATATATTTATATATGAGTTTATATATTTCTTGGACTAATTTATGTATAATGCCTAATTTTTTGTTGTATTTATTACCACCAAAATGATTGCATATTTTATTGATAAAATGAAAAGAAAAATATTTTCCATGGATTCTACTTTAATAAAAATAATGATTTCATTTAATTTTAAAATTAATTGTTCTGTCAAAATAATCACACAATCAAGTTGAAGTAGAAATATAAAATAATTTATAATAAAAAAGTATGATGGCAGATGGCAAAAATGAGACTAAAGTCTAGAAATTCTTGTTTAATTCTATTAAAAAAAAAAGAAATTCTAATAATAAATATCTAATAGCAAAAATTCTGACTGATCCTCATAAATAGTTTTTCTAAACCATAATTAAGACACTTATCAAAATCAAAAAAACTTTAAAATATTAAATAAATTAATTATTAAGTGTCAAATAATAGATAAATTCAGTGACTATTGATGATATCTTTATTGGTTCTCTTTTGATATACTATAAAATTGAATTTAAACTTATAACAAGTTAAAAGTTAAATCTTATTTTATCTTTGAAAAATTTTTTTATTCTACTAACAATAACATTTATAACAAAAATTAAATTTAACTTTGGCATCATCAATATTTTCATAATTATGATCGCGATTATCATCAACTAATAAGAAAAACAACAATCACATTCTATACTTGTAAATCTATAACAATGTACTTATACACTTGAACTAAATAGATTTAATTAAACTTATTTAATTTTAATAAACAAACTGCAAATTCTATTACAAAATACAATTTCTTAGTATTCTTATTCATTTGGAAACTAAAAAAAATAATTTTAAATCATTAACTAACAACATAACAGTATAAAGATACCAACTTTCATTAGCTTCATTAACAGCTTTACTATATTTTCTTCGTTATATTAGGTTAGCTATGTTATGATAGATAACTAAATGGTTAAAAGAAAAAAATATATAAAAATAGAAATTTCATTAGAATTTGTTGTTCTAACAGAAAGTTTTGCTTCAGCTACATTGGACTCCTAAAGTTATTTGCAAATGATTATTAACTCTCCAAATAAAAAATTATAATTTGTCCAATTAAAAATTTATAATTCCAAATAAAAAATTACAATTTGAATCCAGGCTAATGTTAAAGAAAGATAAAAAAAGCTTACTTAGTATTTCTGCTTGCCTAAGAAATATCCCCCCAAAAAAGAAATTTTTTTTTTACATAAAAACATTTCTTAGTAAAAGTATTTCTGCTTGAACTACAAAACATTTCTTTGATGAAATAAAATTAAAAGAAAAGTTTTAGTTTCTTAAATTAATTTTTTTTTTAAGTTTTTAAATTAAATTAAATTAAACAGAATTAAATCAAAATACTTTGAATAAAGTGATAAAAAAAACTTATTAAGCAATCTGTGCTAATTGTTAATCTGTGCTAATTGTTAATATAACTTTTAAAATAAATACTCAAGTTGTAATTTAATAAAAAAAAAGAAGATTGGTTTATCTTGAATATATATTTAAGGTTACTACTTTTAACTTTTTTATTTATATTTAGTGATATTATAATATTCATTACAAAAATTTTTGTTAAAATTTTTAATTTGTTACTTTTTGATTTTAGATAAAATTATTGTGAAAGATATTTCTAGTTTTCCTCTGCTTACTTATTACCTTGAAGTTGTTGCATTCAATTTTCCAAGATTTCGAAACCATACGATTAATAGTTTGTCTAGTAAGCAAAGAATTTTCATTAGTGTTGTTGATGAAGTTGATCAAATAAAACAGACAAGACTCCGTAGATCTACAAATAATGAGGTAAAGAATTTTTGAATTTTTTTCTGTGTTTATCTCTCCAAGGCCAATGGTGCCACAACAGTTGAGTAGGTTACTCTTTGAACACACCAGTATGTGCTAGTGTTTAAACCACATTTTATGGTAATTGGTGCAACTGCATTAACCATTGAGGCTAAATAGGTTCTTTTCCAAACCTCTTTGTTGTACAACTATTTTAACTTTGCAATAAAACTTATTGCTAGTTACCGATTGGTTTAACATTTGTTATTGTTATACCAATGTGTAACTAGCTAACATATTGTTATGGTCTGCTAAAGATCTTTTCAGGATTACATTGACGAGTATTGTACATGTTCAAATAGCTCGGTGTCACATTAGCTCACTATAAGTCATAAATCATAGATGTTATGTTAACATGCAAATATGGAGTATCTATTATTTATAACTTACTGTACCATTATGATCATAACATAGAAATATGAAGTTATGTTAACTTAACAAAGATATATGGAGTAGCTATTATTTATAACTTACCATTCCTTTATGATTCTATATTATGTTCTAAAAAGTTTTATAACAACTGAGTTTGAATAATTTGCTATCAAATGTTTTTTTTATTGGTTTAAACAGCATTATGTATGTATGTAATAATGTATGTTGATGACACTTTATGATGCCAGTAATACTTTATGATGTTGATGATGCCTTGTGACGTTGATGATGCTTAATGCCTCATGATGTTGATGATGTTTTATACCTTGTGATGTTAATGATGCTCTTCACATCAGTATTTGTTTTTTTTAAAAAATGCACATGAAATGAATTTTTTTTTGCAAACTAAATGTATATTCTCCATAAAAAAGTACTTCACACATTTTGAAAAGTATGTCCCAGAAAATAATGTTTTTTTTTATTTTTTATTTAAAGACAAAAAATTCAGATAAGATTTTATTTTTAAGTATTTAAAAGCTGTAAATTTGTTATATGAACACAAAAAATCAAAGAAGCTTTAAAAAACTGATTATATTATAAGTTTTAGTCAACACTGTTAACAACTGACTATCAAGGTTGAAGGTTTTCATGCACTAATATGGAAGCAATTTAATATATAAATTCAGACAAAAACAGAACTTTATCTCAATACAGGAAAGGTCAATCTTTTGTAGAAACACTTAGCTACAAGATGGGGATAAGACAAACAGGAAATCTTTCTTGAAAAGAAATCTCTTTTCAAAGAAAAACATGGTTTAGATCATTAAAGAAACCAATGTATAAGAATATTAAGATTCACAAACAAACTTAAAAATGCTTTTCTTGAAAATCTGAGGGATTTTGTGATATAAACTGTCAATTGATATCCACAGTGAAACATAAGGGGTGTTATTCTTTCTTACAACACAGAGAGAATTTGAGATTTTTTTTATATTTATTCAAAACTGCTAATGAACTGTTTTAGATAAAAACTTATTTGTTTTTGAATTGCAATTTTTTGTTTTATTGATATACACTATAAATTGCTGTACCAGTGCAGCACAATAACATCTGTAAATTCATTTCAGTTTGATGTTACATTATTATTCTGACAATTTGGTTAGAACTGGCTCATGCCATACAAAGATTTTGTTCAATTAGTATGTTTAGAGCAAAATTTTTTAGATCTTTTGGTGTTGCTCTGAACCTCCTAATCTTGCTAAATCTTGAGGTGTATATAATATAATAATTTACGAAAAGCCCAAATGTACCTGTTATTATGTTAGTATAAATTTTTTCCTTAAAGTTTTCCTTCAGTGTTTTTTCAAAACTGGAAAAAAAAAATTTCAATGAATGAGAGTTTCAGTAGCCTAATACTTGGTGGGTAAAAGCTTTTTCCTGCTAATCTGAATATTGATGATAATATATTTTGATAATTTTTTATTTACAGAATCATGCTCCAGTTGCTGGCAGTATTAGTTTAGCTGCTGTTCCCTATCTTTCCAGCACTTATTACTTTAACATAGGAGACCTAATAACTTTTCGTCTGTCTGCTACATTTAATGCTTCATATAATATTTCCAACATTAATAATCTTCGTGTATCTGTTAGCAGCCAATGGTTAGAATTGCAAGAACCAGTGGCATTGAGTTTTACATCAGCTGATAAAGATAAGGATAGTTATATATTTTCATTGCAGTATTTTTCTTCTGGCACCCTTTATGGAAACATAACAGGAAGAGTTAAGGAAAGTATTGAACCTTTGAGTAGTTTATTTTTGAATCTAAATGCTTTGTACAATAATCCTGATGGAAAATTATTATCGTCTCCAGTTTATGAGTCACATCCTGTTGTTTATGGAGTTTTTCCATTTGTGAATCTTATAAGGAACCAGTCTGGAAGTAGGTTTTATATTTCATTTTATCTGTTTAATATACAATCTATTTATTTATATTCTTATACAAATTTTTTCATGATTTTTTGTTCTCCCATCTACATACAAACCAAACAATTCATACTTCATTTGTGTTTTGTTACTGCTACTATTTTATTAATGCTATAATACAATAACAATGCAAAATATTTTAATTCTAAAAGGTAAAAAATTTATCCATCTTCTGAATGTTGTATTTGTTTACTTGTTAGTAATTAAAGTATATAGTGGAGTGCAGTTCAACATGAACATTTTGGTTCCACTACTTAACTTCACTTTGCTAGCAGAAATAACAACAAACATAGAAGATTTTGTGTTTATGAGCGTTTCTAATGTTAAGCTAAGTACTGGTTTAAATATCAGGTATAATGGTAGTAGCAGTTTTGATTTTTATTCATCCCAAGGCGATTTGAAGTATGATAGAGCTTCATTGGATCTTGGTCTTATTACGGTATACTTTCAGTTATCATTAAGAATAGTAGGAGATAGTTAATTAGATTAAAAATAAATAGTAAATTAAAGAATAATATAATATATTCTTATAAATTAAAGAATAATATAAAAATAAAATTGTTAAAGAAAAAAAATCTTTTAAAAAAAGATGTTAACTTGATAATTATAATCTTATTTAGGTTTCCAGAAGCAGCTCTGCTATTGATAGAATAATCAACATTAGTTTTTTACTAAATGTTGATGATCATTTAAATATTGTAAACGGTAGCACTCATTTTTTGGGAATTGGCATTCAAACAGGAGCTAATGTATTGTGGGTAGAGCAACAAAGTATTCAGATTTTTAAGGTAGTGTTTGTAGGTTTTTTCTTTTTTGTATATGATATTGCATTAATAAGTTTAATATTTAAAAATTTCATATTTAAAGAATTTTTTTTGATTGAATTTTGACTAGTTGCAACAAGAAAAAAAAAAAACAAAGCCTTAGCATTGCTAAGGCTTTGTATTTTTTTTTTCGTGTAGTAAATTACAAGACTTGAGCAGTAATCAAAGTTAGGTAGAATGTTTTAAAAAATTGTAAATGAACTTTGAAGGCTAGACCAAATATATTAGTTATTGAGAATAATTTTTTGTGTGCTTTTGCTTTTATCTCTTTTATGTGTTTGTTAAAATGTAATTTACTGTTTATAATGACCGCAAGCAAAGAAAATTTATTAACTATTTCAATTTTGAATTTATCACTTAATATGATTAATGTTGGTAATATTATTTTAGATGTATGTTTATTTGTTAAAATCATTGATTTAGTTTTATCCCAATTGATGTTGAGTTTATTAGCATAGCATCACTCAATAAAATTATTAAACGCTAACTGAGTTTTTGTTTTTAGATGGTTTATATTGGCATCACTTGTCATAAGTGTTGTGTCATCTACAAATAATGTTGATTCAAACAATCTCAAATATTCTGGTAGATCATTGATGAAAATCAAAAAAAAAGAGGTCATAAAATGTAACCCTATAGTATACCGATATTAACTTGTTCTTCCTTAGAATATGCATCTTTAACTTTTGTGAAAAATATTCTTTTATGAAAATAATTGCTTATTAAGTTCAAAGTATCAGTTGAAAAACCATAATGTTTTAGCTTCAAAATCAGTAATACGAAATCTACATCGAGTCAAAAGCTTTTCTGAAATCAATAAATATTAATAATGTAAAGAGTTTTTTAGAGTTTCTTAGCTTTTCTTTAGAGATAAGAACATGTAACACAGTTTCACATGAATAATTGCATCTGAAATTGTGCTGGTCATCGTTGAAAAAATAATTTTGTTTAAAGTATGCAGTTACCCTTTTAGCAATTATTTGTTCAATCACTTTTGTTAGCGGAGATACTATAATAATACTTCGATAACTATTGATATCATGAATTTCACCTTTTTGTTTATAAAGTGACATAATACTACCAATTTTAAATTCATTTGGAAAACTGCCTGTTTTTAGACATTTGTTGGATATAGTCATTAATGGATTGGTGATTGAATCATATGATTTTTTAATAATTTTTATTGGATCTGAATAACCACAGCTATTTTTTTCTTTTAAGTTTTTAATCGGATCAACGATTTCATATTTATTAATAGAAAGAAATGAGAAATTTAATTTTTTTTTTTAAGTAATTGTTTTTGAGTAATTGACAACTTCAGTGATATCATCAGTTGCTGCAAAAACTCCACAGTGATCACAAAACAAAGTTTCTAAGACAATCTTTTTTATTTTTGCTGAACTTTTACTTAATAAAACATCAATCATACTTTTAGATGTTTTGTATTTATTTTCTTTTTATTAAATTTAGTTGTAATTCTAGTTGGTTTATAGGCATTATTTTTTAAGTTGAAATTAGCAAGAAACTAATTAAGTTACATTCCATATTGCAAGCTGAGATCTTGATTTAGATCTCTGATTATAAATGCTCATTTTGGTTGGCTGGCTCATTTTGGTTGGCTGGCTCATTTTGGTTGGCTGGCTCATTTTAGTTGGCTGGCTCATTTTGGTTGAGTATAGTAATAAGCTTTCTACATAGAATAATAAGCTTTCTACATAGTTGTTAAAGCATTTAGAATTAATATTTGGTAGCTTATAACAGCAGATAAAATTGTTTTTCAATTTGTTGTGCATCAATTGTTTTTCAATTTGTTGTGCATCAATTGTTTTTCAATTTGTTGTGCATCACTTGGAGATCTCCAAGTGATTCATCTATGAATAATCTTGTATTCAAAACTTCGAAAACTTTCAAGTTGTTTTTTATGTAGATGAGAATGCCACCTCCTTTAATGCTGTCTTTTCTGTCTCTACGCAGAATCATAATTATTTGAAAGAAATTCTTTAGTTAGATATGTATTGTTAAATTTGGTTTCATTAAGCATTATATCTATCAAATTTAAATCTAATATTGGTTTGATTTCTGTGATGTATTTCAATGAATTTATATTTAATGAATTTATATTTATATGCAAAATCGATAGTATTTTTTTCTTTGAAAAATCAAAAGAGAGGTTAAAGTTATCTAAGTTGTAAATTGTAGGAATGTTGTTATTATTATTAAAGAAATTATTAACTGAAGTCACTTTGTTTTTATCAAAAGTTTCAGGTTGAATAAACAAAAGATGATCATCATTTAGTTTATTGGTATAATTTGTTGGGTTTATGTTGTTATTGTTATGCTGATTGAAGTAATTATATGATGGCACAAGAGTCATTCCTTAATATATTTTTTTCAATTGTTGATCTCTTATGCCATATTAGTATTTTTTATTTGTACGATTTATGTCAATGTCATATTTAAGCTTGATATTGTTATCAAGTGTGTAATTGAGTTAGTCATTAGTCATTAAGATTGTTTCTTTTTTTTCTAAGATTTTTTCGTAAATTCTTTCGTTTTCTGTTAAATCTTTATTTATAAAAATTCTTGGAGAGTAATTTTTAGAACTTTTGCTTTTGCTAAAGCAGTGATAACTGTTTTTGCTGAGTGGAATTCAACTTTTATCATGTTTGTATGTGTTTGGTGGCCTTTTATTTTTTTCATTATTTGTGTAATTTTTTTCACTTATTCTTTTGTATTTCAAGGTTGTTTAAGATTAAAAGGGTTGCTTTTTCATCATTTGTTACATTTAAATTGGTGTGATCGATTCCACTTATTATAATGTTGGGCAATTAAAAGAAAAAAAAAAATCTAATTTAGTCCACTGGATATACTATTAGTACTAACTAAAAAAAATACCAGAAGTGGAAAAAGTAACAAAATTTTGTACTCAAGGAAAAGTACTGTACTTGAGGGAAATTTTACTCAAGTACAAGTAAACGTTACTGGTTGAAAAGTTTTACTCAAGTAAAAGTAAAAAGTACTCTATTAAAATGTACTTGTTATAGTAAAATAGTATAGTAAAAAGTTATAGTATAGTAAAAGTTACCATGTTACTTTTTTGAAAGCCTTTTTCAGGTAACAGACCTGTTGAATAACAAACCATAAACAATGTGTTCTATACTATTCCATATGTCTTTAAAATTATTATATTTAACTAATATTTTTAAGTGTACATTTATTAATACAAATAATTTTTAAAATAAGTCATTATTTAATATTCATTTTATCAGTTAAAACATGTTTTTTTATTCAATCTTGCAAAATTTTTAGAAACATACAGAATTGGCAAATTTATCATTATATTTTGCAAAGATATGCACGCTATGCATACATAAATTTTTTTTTTTTCTCAAATACAAAGAACATCTAAAAGGAACATTTTCAAATAAAGTCAATAATTATGTAAATAGGATAAATAATTGAAAATAAATAGTTATTTTTCATGTTTTTATATAATACTTTGTATAAATTGTAAACATAATGAATCTTTTTTTTTAAATTTTACTATTTTTAAATGCAGAGCTATATAATATAATAGCATACTAAGTTTAATGAAAATTTCTTCATAAAAGAGCTGCATAAAAAAGCTCTCCTATTTTTGTTTTTTAAAAAAATATAGCATTGCATAATTTATGGACAATCCCTAAGGAAACAATTTTATTCAGGCACTAATTTTTATCAAGCAAAAAAAATTAAATCATTTTTTTTGTGAAATACTAATATGCAATAAAGTAACTTTACTCAGTAAAGTATATGATTTAAAATCTAGCAAAGCAATTAAATACTTTTAAAAAAAAAAATACTAAAGTTAGAGTAAATTTAACCTTTTACAAAAATACTTAATTCAATACTTTTCCCCTCTGAAAAATACTAATTGTCAATGTAGTTGATGTTTTTCCACTACTTCCCTTCCATTTTGCCTTCTAAGGGGGCTACTTTTTATAAAGTGAAAATAAAAGTATTTGGTCCCACATCCTATGTGCCCTATAAGTTTGGGCCCTCTATTTGTTCTACAATAAACTAAAAAAACATTAAGATAAATCTAAAATGAAAATAAAGCATTTATGACATGTAAGTATAAAAGGAGTAAAGACATCACAAAATTACCTGTTATTGCTGTTGATGCTATTGTTACTGTTACCAATTTTACTGCTGCTGTTGCAGTAGTTGCAACAACTGCCCTAATTATATCATATATTATAATCTAGATTACTTATATTTTTAGAAAAATTCACAGAATCCCCTAAAAATGAAAATAAAAATAAAAGAATTTTTTCAAAATTTTTCTAATATTAAATAGTCAAAAAAATCTTCATCATTATCTTTTCAAAGTTGAAAAAACATTTTTAAAACATTTTTATGTTTGAAAAATGGCTTTATGTATGTTTGCTTATGTGGCTTTTTTGATTTTCAATGTCAGTATAGTTATCAGTATTTTTTTTATTAAATCAAATAGCAAATAACAGGATGGCGAGTGGCGGGTGGAAAATTGTTGTGATTCTGGATTGGTTAAGATAGTTATGGTTTGAGTACCATAAGGTTGAGCGTTATCATGAAAAAATTTATAATTTTGATTGCCTGTTACATGTTTTTGCTTATTTATTTTGTATAAAACAGATTTCTAGTACTTTCTTACATAGTATTGATTATTAATGATGTTGTTCTTTTTTCACCATAACCCAATTGAACAACACCTATTTTAGTGAAGAAGATGTAGAATATATTTTTTAGCTCAAACCAGTCACATCTTACTATAGTTTTTAGACTTTCAACTTCATCCACTTAAGCTAACCAGCGTTTGCTGACTTGGGTCCAACTTATCTCAAATAAAATCATGGCTATTTCCCTGTAACAGTACTACATAGTTTCCATGGATTGTTTCTGAATATGGCTAAATTTTCCTTTCGTGTATTAACTGTACTTTT